CCATCCACAGGGGCCTGATGCAGCCAGAGACTCCTCCAGTGTTGTCTGGGGTTGAGCTTCCCCACTTGCGGTTTCCAGGGCTTTTCAGGCCCTCTTGGTTATCAGTCTCCTTATGGGTCACTGGACCAGGCACCACTCCCTGTGCCGGGTGCCATCCTAACAGGTCTTACCTGCGTGCTGTGCTCCTGTCGATGACCCTGTAGTGAATTCTCTGTCCGCCTCAGGGCTCTGTGTACCAGAAGACCAACGCCGTGTCTGAGATCAAAAGGGTTGGCAAAGACAGCTTCTGGGCCAAGGCAGAGGTGAGTGCCGCCCAGGGCTTGAGGATGAGGGCTGGCCTTCGGTCTGGTCCCGTGTGCAGCAGGCAGGAGGAAGTAGTTTACTCACTGTGTCAGCTCCTGCATCAGATGTGTCCCTGGTAGCACCCATTCGCAGGCAGTTGAACGAGGGGTCAGAGGTGTTAGGGAACGAGGCCAGCAAGCGTTGCTGTAGGGCCCACGCTTGACCGCGGCCCGTGCGGGCTGCCTGGGCGGGTCCACGCCGCCGGCGGCGCCCCTCCCCGCAGAAGGAGGAGGAGAACCGCAGGCTGGAGGAGAAGCGGCGGGCGGAGGAGGAGCGGCGGCGGCTGGAGCAGGAGCGCCGAGAGCGGGAGCTGCGTGAGGCTGCCCTCCGGGAGCAGCGCCACCAGCAGCGGGGCGGCGACGCCGGGCCCCACAGGTGCGGTGGCGCTGCCCCCACCTCCTCTCCCCTCCCGAGGGCTGTCCCCCGGGGCAGGGGACGGTGGGCCAAGGCCGGGCTGCAGCTCTTGCCTCTGCCCCTCCCAGCAGGAAGTGTGAGCAGCAGGAAGTGCTTTCAAGGAGCGGACAGGAGCAGGTGAGTCTTGAGGGCCAGAATGACGCGCGCTGTCCCCAGCTGAGGCTCGTCCGGGACAGGTGCGCAGGCTGCCTGCTCTGAGCCGTGGTGGCTGTGTGGGTCCCTCCAGGTGCACACGCCCCACCCAGCAGGCCTGAGGGAGGCGCTTACTGGGAGGGGCCTGCAGCCTGCTGGGGCAGATTAGAACGTGGGACACGTGGTGTGTTAGGGCCGTCAGTGGAGAGGAGAGCCAAGGGCAGAAGCTCAGCCCGGCATGGACCTCCGCCTGGTGCTGGAAGAGGCCTGTGAGCCCCTCAGCTTTGGTGTTTTGCTTCCTGACCCCCTGCACAGCTGCAGGGAGCCAGGCAGGCCGATGGCTCCCGGATCCTCATTCACTGCCGGCTCCGTGCGCGCTCCTTCAGGAGCCTGTCTGTCCACAGCCAGCACACCCACGGGAGATTTTCAAGCAGAAGGAGAGGGCCGTGTCCACCACGTCCATCTCCAGCCCCCAGCCAGGTGAGACTTCGCTCTGTGCCCAGCTATGAGGCAGGGGAAGGCTAAAGGGGAGCCTGGGGTCCCAGGGCAGGGCCCCCTGACTTAGTGACAGATGATGTATCAGAAGGTGAAAGGGATGAGTAAGGAGAGCCCGTGCTCATGAGGGTTGCTTCTTGCATGGGAGCCGGGGACCTGGGTGTCCCCTTCCTGCTCTTGACGTGGTGGGACAGGAGGGGCCGTGTGTGGCTCTAGAGTGGACACCCTCCAGCCCCAGCCCTGTAAACCCCCCAACGTTGGGCTCTTAGCTGGGTCTCAGGGGCCTGCATCAGTCACCTCTCTGGCCCCCAAAGGCTATATCGGACTGCACTGCTGGTCAGCTCTCCAGCACTGCACATGGCCCCCAGGGGGCTGCTTGGAGTGTACGATGTGTGAGTGTGTGAGATGTGTGCACAGCGGGTGGTATTCCTGCAGCTGCTGCATGTCCCTGTTCGCTCCCTGTATGACAGCCACTGTCCCACAACAGGTCCACCCTCCAGGCAACACAGGGCACAGAAGGGGCAGAGAGGGCTCGGCTCTTCCCCCTTTCCAGCAGTGTGATGTCTTCGATGTTTGCCATTGGTTTGCAGGCAAGCTGAGGAGCCCCTTCCTGCAGAAGCAGCTCACCCAACCAGAGACCCCCCTCAGCAGAGAGTCAGCTCACGCCACCTCAAGGCCCACGGCAGGCAAGGCTCTCGGCTGCCCTGTGGGGGGTTGGGGGTGGGAGGGAGACATGGCATGTCCTCTACCCTCCCCTGGGTCAGAGTGGGCCGTGTCCTCCCGTGCAGATCTCCGCGAGGAGCCGGTGCCCAGCACCCCTCCGTGCTCGGTGCCGGCGGAAGAGGAGGCCGTGTACGAGGAGCCCCCAGAGCAGGAGACCCTCTACGAGGAGCCTCCAATGGTGGGTTCCCTGCAGCAGGGCAGATGTGTGAAGGGCCCACGTGCCCGGAAACGCGCTCCTTGGCCGTACCCATTCCGTGGCTCCCTACCTGTGAATTACCTTGTTTAATTTTGGAGCATCCCGTGCCCCGTGTGCCCTCCCCCCAAGTCTGCCATGAGCCCTGGTCACAGGCAGGGTTGAATCTGGGTAACCACGATCCCAGACTTCTCTTCTTCTTTCCCATCCATGGGCAGGTGCAGCAGCAAGATACCAGCTCTGAGCGCATTGACCACTACCCGGGGCTGAGTGGGAAAGGGCTCTGTGCCCGGGCCCTGTATGACTACCAGGCAGGTAACGTGCTGCAGCCCTGCCACCTCAAACCACAGGGCCCAAGATCAGGAGGCAGGATTTGAGGACTCCCTCAAGGGGAGAGCCCCGGGGCGTGTCGGAAGTGAAGGCAGGAGGGTGAGAAGGGAGAGTGCGTGGGTGCCCTGCACAGCTCAGGCCTCCCCACATGCTCCGGGCAGCTACTTGTGGTCCACTGGTGTGAATCCCAGTTGCCCGCCTTGTCCTAGTGCCGGAAAGCGTGACCAGAGAAGAGGGGCCAGGCCTGGATGCCGGTGCCCCTGCTGACCCTGGGTAGAGGCCTCGGGGAGCAGGCTGATGTGTGGAAGTGCTGTGCTCCAGCCTTTCGCTGGGACAGTGAGCCCAGGGCCGGGCCCTGTAGGAATGTGTGTGCTGGGGGAGTGGCCCCAGGAGCAGCGTCAGCACAGGCTGAGGGCCGGCTGGCCCAGGGCCCTCAGCACCGCATCTGGGCTCACCTTCTTTGCAGCCGACGAGACCGAGATCTCCTTTGACCCTGAGAACCTCATCACAGGCATTGAGGTGATCGACGAAGGCTGGTGGCGTGGCTACGGGCCGGACGGCCACTTTGGCATGTTTCCCGCCAACTATGTGGAGCTCATTGAGTAAAGGGCCCCGACTGCTGGCCGAGGCCGGGGGCTGTGCTTCCCTTCCCCTCCCAGACGCGACTTCCTCGTTGCTGGCAGAGGCGGCGTGAGGGTTGTGTACGGCACTTTTCTAGGAATGGGACCCCCCTGATGAGGGCAGGCCCTCAGGCTCCCTCTGGCTTGGGTGGCTCGGCCTCTGTTGCCCCAAATGCAGCAATGACCTGGTGATGTCCAGACGTGTTTCCAACAGCTTCCCAAGTCCTCCCAACCAGCCTGGTCCTTGACCCCCAACAGAAGACACTGAGCCAAGCCTGCCCAGGGCCAGCCTCTCAGTGACCTCTTCCCAGGGAGTATGGCGCTGCCAGTCTGCAGGGGTGGGTCTGAGCAGGGGCATCTGGAGGTCTCCTTGTGCACTTGCCTTTTTTTCCTTTTCCTCTTGGCTTTAAAGGACGGTGTCTGTAGCTTCAGTGACCCTTGGGAACGGTGCACTTAGAGTTTATGACCAAAGTCAGAGTGGGTCATGATTTTGGTAGCAGTCTTTCTGGAACCTGCTCTGTGCTCCCCATTTCTCTGTCCCTCTGCCTGGGCTCTGGGCAGTGGAGATAGGGACAACCAAGCCCCCATCTAAGTATGTGAAGGAAGAGGTGAAAACATCAACAGACACTGCGTGTCCTTCCACGTGGCTCACTCCTGTCTGCTGGCCCCGGTGTGCACCTCAGTTGATAGGGTTTAGGGAAAGTAACCATGGTGGCCTGTTCCTACTGTCTTTCCTTCTTTCTGCCCCAGCCCATCCATGCCTGCTTCTGGAGTAAGAATTGCCCCACACCGGCCCTAGCTCCGATCCCTCCTGTTGTAGCCCTTATGTGTGCACCCTCAGACCTCTGACCAACCCTTAGCCACCTGGAGGAGGCATAAAGGTCAATGTGTGACTGCAAGTCAGCCTCCTGCATTTCAGTTCTCGGGGAGGGGCCGAGGGCCCCCCTGACCCCTGCCATGGGGAGCCTCCACCCACGCAGTACAGCCAATGTGAACATGTGCCCGGAGTGAGGCACCTGCACCCTCAGAGCGTCTGGGGAATTAAGCTCTTACGCTCTGGGAGGTGCCAGGTGGAAGCAGCTTGGGGCAAAGGATGTGCCGAGGGGGCTGTCGGCCCAGGTGGTGGCCAATCCCAGTGCCCCCTCCCCACCTGGCTGTAGATGGCGTTTCCTGTCTTAGGCTGAGCTGCAGGCAGGCCTCACCATGTCCTGATTTCTTAGGACAGCCTCCAGGGCCCACCCCAGCTATGAAAGCCCCTTGAATCAGGTATTGCCAGCTTTGAGGCTACCTGTGGGCTTGTCTGCCCCTGAACAAGGGGACCCCCGTGGGGCAGGGCTCAGGGTACCACCTTGCCCTTCCCACCCTGGGGCAGCCCAGGGCAGTAGAGGACAACCAATGTGAAGTAAGTGGCGTGTTGGCCACAGTCCTCGCTCGCCATGGGGAGGGCTGGGTCACTTGGACTCTCGCTAAGTGACCCTGGGCACTCGGATTTAGAGCAGGCTTGCCAAGTGGCTCTTCTGCTTTGCGGGTCATCGTAGGGGCTTGTCAGGAGCCACTCGATAGCTGGGGATAGGGAGGCTATTGGCCTCCGTGTTCCCGGGGTCCCCGCACCCAGTGGGGGAGGCTTGGGCAGGCAGCGGGGGCCCGGGGCTCTGTGTGTGTGGAATCCCGGGCTCCAGGCCCATGGAACCAGCCCTGAGTGAGCACTGGGGGGCGGGTGTCCTGGGGCCACACTGGCCTGAGGCAGTGAGAGGATGTGCCTTTATTGCCAGAGCCCACCCTTCACTTGGCCTTGCCCTGGGCAGCCACAGCTTCCATGGCTTTGCGCACGGTCTCCTCGTCACCCAGGAACCGCATGGGCTTGGTGGGCTTCAGCGCCTGGTCCAGCTCGTACACGATGGGGATCCCCGTGGGCAGGTTCAGCTCCATGATGGCCTGGTCTGACATCCCTGGACCGGAGGAACAAGGGTCCTTAGCTCCTCCCAGCCTGTCTGCCAGGCAGCCACCTGCTCTTGCATTTAGCAGGCTTCGTGACCTTTACAGGCCACAGGGCTGTCGGCCAGGCAGCAGCCCTCCCACCCTGACAGCAAGGCCGCAGAAATGCTCCTCGAGAAGGTCAAGGCAGCCCTGAGACAGCAGCCTACAGAAATAGCTGTAGTGAACCGAGGACCTCGCTCCGGCCGGGGCTGGCCTCATTTGGGGTGACGCCATCGGCCCCCTTAGCCCAACGTGAACTCTAGTCAGACTGGTGGGTGTTTGGGATCAGGAAAGACCTTAACCACTTGGCTTCTAGAGAGTTCTAGTTTCTGGACGTCCTAAGCAGGGGAGCAGGGCTGCTCCTGAGAAGGGGGGTGTGATAGGGACGGCGAGAAGCGCTGCCCGTGGCCGAGGTGGATGCAAGGCCCTGCCAGGTGGAGAGAGTTCTGTGTGGAAACCCGACCCAACCCTGCTGGCCTCCCGAAGACCTGGCCTGGAATAGCAGCTCGACCTTTGGTATCGCTGTCATCCCACCCAGCCCGCTGGTGCAGGGAGGCCTTAAGGGAACATGCTCTGGGCAGTGGGAGACCCCGGTCACGTTTGCCTCGGTGCATTCGTTTCTCCTGGGCCAGGCTGCAGGGAGCCCCCAGAAGGGAGGGAGGGCAGGTGGTCTTTCCATCTGTGAGGCTCAGCGCCAGCCGTGAAACATCTGTGTGGACTCAGCCTCAGGAAGTCCTCAGAAAGGCCGATGGGGTCTTCCTTGGAGGAAGTCTGTCATGCTGGGAGGGGCTCCTCCCCTTTTAGTGGAAGCCAAGCTACCAACCTAAGGTCTCTGGCGTTCTGCACACCCTGCACCCGTCTTTTGACTAGTCTTTTGCCCCGAGTGGGTGGGCTGGGGTGTGGGCAGGGCCCCACCCTCAGTCCCATATCCAGCAGCTGCCAGTGAAGTGACTTGACCAGGGTCACTCAGCAAGCTGGGATTTAGAGCCACATGGCCCTGCCTCTTCAGGGGTGGGTGTCCTTGGGCAAGATGCCACCCCTGGGCCTTCCCTCCTCTCCCCCGAGGCTTGTGTTCGGGAAGCGGGGCCAGCTGTGCACCCCTGTGCAGGGCCTGGGCCCTGGGTCAGTGGCGGCACACATTTCCACCCAAAATCTTCAGAAGAAGACTCACGTTACACAGTGTCCCAGTATGCACGGCAGTGGACGGTTCTTACAGAGCTGTTTTTTCAAGTGGTTTCTTGCCCCACCCGGTCCAGTTCACAGTTTGGAGGCCCTGCCTGGGGTGCGGATGTCTGCAAAGCCGCCTCGGCGAGGCAGCCGGCACGTTTACGAAATGTGCAGCTGGGGGCTCGCTGGCTCAAGTGGACGTGTCACCCCACCCGCCTCTGCCCACACCCTGTGTGAGGATGGGCCTCACCTTCCAGGTGCTTGACGATGCCCCGCAGACTGTTCCCGTGGGCTGCAATCAGCACTCTCTTGCCAGCCTTGATCTGGGGGACGATCTCATCGTTCCAGAAGGGCAGGGCCCGGGCGATGGTGTCCTTGAGGCTCTCATGCGTGGGCAGCTCCCCCGGCTTCAGGCCTGCATAGCGACGTGCCTGGGGGCATCCGTGCTGCTGTTCACTCCCTAGACAGACCCCCGCCCCCCAGCCTGGGCCCCCGTCCCCAGACCTCGCCTTCAGCCCCACACCCCAGCCACTCACCTTGCTGATGGAGTTGTAGTAGGGGTGCTTCTCATCCATGGGGGGTGGAGGGATGTCAAAGGAGCGCCTCCAGATCTTCACCTGCTCCTCCCCGTGCTTGGCGGCTGTCTCCGCCTTGTTGAGGCCAGTGAGACCCCCGTAGTGCCGCTCATTGAGGCGCCAGGTGCGCACCACAGGCAGCCACATCTGGTCCGTTGTGTCCAGGATGGTCCAGAGGGTGTGTATGGCCCTCTTCAGCACTGATGTGTAGCAGATGTCAAATTCCATCTTCACGTCCTTGATGGCATGGGCCCCCCTCTTGGCCTCCTCCGCCCCCTTCTCGCTCAGCTCCGCGTCGAACCAGCCGCAGAAGCGGTTCTCCTGGTTCCAGGTGCTCTCTCCGTGCCGAACCATCACGAGGCGGTGGGTGGGCATGGTGGCGGCGGAGGGCACTCGCGGGCTGCAGACAGGGACAGGTGACCCCCAGGCGCCCCCAGCTTTATAAGGATCCCCAGCCCCTGCCCCAGCCAACTGCCAGTCAGCATTCCAGGCCTGACGGGCGGCAGCAGGTGGCCGGCAGCAGAGCTGGGTGGAAGGCAGGCCGAGAGCCGGACTGGAAAAATGGCCTCATCAGCCACCAGTCCCCACGTGCCCAGAGAGCCCAGGCTGGGCGGGGCTGCCGAGCAGGGCTGGGCATGAAGGGCAGAAGTCCGGGCCTCCAGCTAGCCTGAGAAGGGGGCTAGCGGGAACAGAAGGAATGGCTGGGGAAAGACTACCCCTGAGGTCAGGGTCCCGAGCCCCGTCACCCTGCCGCCTGGTCTCGGGGGCTGCCGCTGTCGGGCAGGGGCACGGGAAAATCCTGTTTCCTCCGAGTCACTCAGCGCAACCGGAGACAAGCCTGCGTCTCGGGAAGTACACTACCCTGGTGTCAGAGGGAGCCAAGGGTGTGAGTACGCACATGTGTCCGCCCACCCACACGTGCGTGCCTAGGTGCGCGTGCACGTGATGCGCACGTCCTACTGCATGTACACGTCCGTGTGCCTCGTTCTCACGTCTGTGTTGCATGTGCGCACACCTGCGTGCGTATGTGAGCTGCCGGGAGGTTCCCCCTGGGGCGCTGTTCTGCTCCCCTGTGAGTGGGGTCTGTATATTGGCAGGGGACCTTCCCCGGGACTCCTGACCCCCGTCTTCAGGTCCCTCTACCCTGGCAGGCTCTGTGCCCCAGCCTTGCCCACAGGAGGAGCCCTGTGGAAGCCTCTGGCTGACAGCCAGGCTGGGAGGAGCTGTGCCGTCATCTCCACACAGGGGAGGAGAAAAGGTTGCTGTGGGCAGAGCGGGGGAGCTGGTGAGGACCGTAGCCCTGGGGAGAGGTCTGGCCTCGTGGGAGGTGGCAGCAGTGTAGGGCAAGGGCTGACCTGGGCAGAGCTGGGTTTCCAGGACAGCCAGGGGTAGCTGGGGGCCTGGCTGCTTGGGCCAGAGAGGAACAGGTTTTCTGCTTTCGCATCCCTTTGTCAAGTTCTTATCCACATGTGCCACACTCTCCCACCCTAGTTACCTTCACCCAAGCCAGGCTCACTCCTCCCAGCTGAGACCACCTTTGAAAAGAAAAAGAAAAATCCAGGATTCATGTCCCCAAGGAGCCCCAGAATCAGAGGTACTGGTTATTAGGTCTGTGCCCAGCTTATCAGGAGCGCCCAGAGGTAGGCTGAGGTTGGGACTAGGGGGCAGTGTAGAGTTGGGTGCAGGCCCAGGACTTCTGCATTCAGGTTTTGGGGGACAAGGGCTACTGCAATCTGGGCTGTGAAGAAACGAAGCAGAGCGGTGGGGTCAAGATGCCAAGTTGCAGCTGCACCAGCAAAGAATCAATCCTCATAGAACAGCAAACAGGTGTGTGGCAGAGAGGCATAGAGGGGCTGGGCCTTGTGTCCTGACAAATGGGAATCACTGGAGAGTCTGAAGCATGGTTATATTTTAAAGTCACTTGCCGCTGTGGAGGCAGGATTGGAGGCCAAAGGCCCTGGTAGAGGTGGTGGCTTTGGGTTAGGTGAGAACAAGACTGCTTGGCCTGGGCTGGGTGCAGGTGGTGTGGTGAGGAGCTGCTAGACTGGGGGGCCACTGGGGCCGTACTGCCAGCCAAAGCGGGGGACGGGACATGCCTCCCTGCCTGTCTGATGGCTCTTGAGAAAGCCGGGGACCGCAGAGGAGAGTTAAAGCCTGAGAGGACTAGACACAGCTTCTAAGCCTTGGCTCGCTCCAGCCTGACTCTTACTCATTCAAAAAGTGTTTGTTGGGCATGTCTGGTGTGCCAGCGCTGTTCAAGCACTGGGCAAGCAAGGCCCTGCTCATGGGGGTCTCCATCCCAGTCATGGGAGATGGACAACATGTGATGTGTGGCATGGTAGGCAGCGATGAGGTCCATGGAGAAGCAAGCAAGGGAGCAGGAGGGCTGCTGTTTCAACAGGACTGTCCTGGGAGGGTGGAGCGAGCACCCTCCACTAGTCTCTCCGCATGACCACAGCTATAAATCCTGGACAAAGGCAGAAAGCAAATCTCAGAGAACTGAAAAGTAAGTAGCAGGCAGATGAAGCAGATCAGATTCCAAGTTCCATGGTGAGTTTACCATTTTTTTCTCCCAGGATTGCCTAGCTTGAAACCTAGAAGTGCCCCCAATGTGGACAGAAAGGGCTCCGGAGAATCCCTCTGGTCCAAGGAACAGAAATAAAGTTCCTATAGGCCCCTTCCCTTTTTCCCCTTCTTACCCACCACAGCTCCTGGGCAGTAATGTAGAGGTGGCAATGTCAGCCAGGTAGGCACCTGAAACCCTGAGAGAAGAGCTACCCTCTCACCAGAGGAGGTGAGGCCACAAGAGTGTATGGCAAACACCCGCTGCTTTCTCTCTTCTCCCTCCTGCAGCTGAGGACGGGATGCAGCTGCAGGAACTGTGCAGCAAGCAGGGGAAACTAAGGCCCCAGATTTCTGGCTGGGAGTCTTGGAAAGCAGGCCTCAGGGAGCTGTCAAGTATCAGGTCAGGCATGAAGAGGAGGGAGGTTAGGTGAGTGATGCAGTACAGTTACAGGTGAATTCCTGGGCTCCCTGTACTTGTGGGCTCTGACCCAGGCTGACCCACTGGTGACCTGATTACCTGCCAAAACAATACGATCAATATTCTCCTTAGAATTTAAACAGACTCTCAAAATAATATTCAAAATACCTAGGACAATTTTGCATGTGACTGTCCAGTTCTCCCAAAACCATTTATTGAATGTCCTTTCCCTATTGTATATTCTTGGCTCTTTTGTTGTAAATTAATTGACCACATGTGGGTGGGCTTATTTCTGGGTTCTCCATTTCCGTCCTTTGGTCTATGTGTGGGTTTTATGCCAACATCATACTGTTTGATCACTATAGCTTTGTAATATAGTTACAAAGAACTGTAATGTCTCCAGCTTTGTTCCTCTTTTTCAAAATTGCCTTAGCTATTCATGGTCTTTTGTGGTTCCATACAAATTTTAGTGTTTTGTTTTGTTTTTTTCTTTTTTGAGAAAAATGCCATTGGAATTTTGATAGGGACTACATTGAATCTATAGATTGCTTTTGGTAGTATGGACATTTTAACCATGTCAATTCTTCCAATCCATGAGGATGGAATATTTTTACATTTATTGGTGTCATCTTCAAATTTTTCATCAATGTCTTAGTTTTCAGTGTACAGATCTTTCACCACCTTAGTTAAATTTATTTCTAGTTGTTTTATTCTTTTGATGCGATTGTAAATAGGATTGTTTTTTAAGTTTCTCCTAGTTGTTAGTGTATAGAAACAGACTGATATTTGTGTATTAATTTTGTATTCCGAAACTTCATTGAATTTGTTTACTAGTTCTGACAGTTCTAGGTTTCTTCTAGATTGTTGAATTTGTTGGCATAGTAGTTTCTTATGATCCTTTGTGTTTTATCAGTTGTAATGTTTCCTCTTTCATTTATTATTTTGTTTGAGTCCTCTTTCTTTAATTGATAAGAGTAGCTAAAGGTTTGTCTATTTTGTTTCTTTTTTCAAAGAACCAGCTCTTAGTTTCATTGATATTTTCTGTTGTCTTTTTAGTCTCTGTTTCATTTATTTCTGCTCTGATCTTTGTTACTTCTGTCCTTCTGCTAACTTTGGGCTTTTCTAGTTCCTTCAGGTGTAAGGTTAGATTGTTTATTTGAGCCCTTTCTTTTTCTTAATGTAGGTGTATATTGCTATGAGCTTCCTTCTTAGAACTGCCTTTGCTGCATCCCATATGTTTTGATATGTTGTATTTCCATTTTCATTTGTCTTAAGATGTATTTGGGTTTCTCTTTTGACTTCTTTTTTGACTCATTGATTGTTCAGGAGTATGTTGTTTAATCTCCACAGGTTTGTGAATTTTCTAGGTTTCTTGTAATTGATTTAATTAGTTTTAATTGATTTAATTGGTGTAATTAGTTTTACACCACTGTGTCAGAAAAGATGCTTGATATAATTTGTCTTCTTAAATTTATTAAGACTTGCTTTGTTGATATTATCTATCCTGTAGAATATTCCATGTGTGCCTGAGAAGAATGTGTATTCTGTTGACGGATGAAATGTTCTGTATATGTCTGTTAAGTCAATCTGATGTAATGTGTAGTTTTAAGTCCACTGTTTCCTTACTTTCTGTCTGTATGATCTATCCATTGTTGAAAATGGGATATTAAAGTCCCCTACTATTACTGTATTTTTGTCTACTTTTCCCTTTATTTCTGTTAATGTTTGCTTTATATATTTAGGTGCCCCTATGGCAGGTGCAAAATTATTTTTAAATATTTGAAATTACTCTTGTTGGATTGACCCTTTTACCTTTATATAATGACATTCTACGTCTCATACATACATAATTTTAAGTAATTTTTATTTTTTAAATTTTTATTGGAGTATAATTGATTTACAACGTTGTGTTAGTTTCAGGTGTACAGCACAGTGAATGAGTTATACATATACATATAGCCACTCTTTCTTAGATTCTTTTCCCATATAGGCCATTACAGAGTATTTTGTGCAGAATTCCCTGTACTATACAGTAGGTCCTCCTTAGTTATCTATTTTATTTTTTTTATTGAAATATAGTTGATTTACAATGCTGTGCCAATCTCCACTGTGCAGCAAAGTGACTCAGTTATACACACGTATACATTATTTTTTTAATAGTCTTTTCCATTATGGTTTATCACAGAATATTGAATATAGTTCCCTGTGCTACACATTAGGACCTTGTTGTTTATCCATTCTAAATGTAATAGTTTGCATCTATCAACCCCAAACTCCCAGTCCAACCCTCTCCCTCCCCCTCTCCCCCTTGGCAACCACAAGTCTGTTCTCTATGTATATGAGTCTGTGTTTTGTAGATAGGTTCATTTGTGCCATATCTTAGATTCAACATATAAGTGATATCATATGGTATTTGTCTTTCTCTTTCTGACTTACTTCACTTAG